AGGTTGGAAAAAATAAAACATTTCATAGGGCCCTAAACATGTAATTTTTGTTAAACTTTTAATAAATTGATGTTAAATTGTTTAGATTTCATGATTTTAATTAATTAGACATGCTTTTTGATTAATAAAATTTAATTTAACCATTAAAAAGGAGTCCAGAATCGTCCTAGGAGTCCCCCTCACCTCAGAGCTCATAGTAGGTCTGTCTTAAAGGTTAAAGTACATGATCACTAAAAATCTATTTCTCTATGGAAAAAATGAATGTGATTTTTACTTCCAGAACCCAACTGCTGCGCTCTATTTATCTGAAGATCATTAAAGGGAATATGGCTACCTGACAACATGGCACAAGACCCAGAAGTGCCAATATCACATCAATAAAAAGCATTGGTGAGCCGCTGTTAAAACACTACCAGAAGAGTAATTGTGCTTGTATTAACAATCATTAAAACCCTCATGTCTGAAAGCTCTCCTTTACATAAAGGAGAGCCAGACCAATCCAATCTTATTCCATCTGGCTGAAACGTTATGGCACGTCACACTCAATGTAGGGGATGTCACTGTACCGACTGTCCACCTCAGCCCATTGTTGTACTGCCCGGGCCACAATTTCCTCTGAGAGTCTCTGGGCATAGTCCAGCAGCACCGGATTGACCCGTACTGGGTCCTCCACTGAGCCGATCTCTGAGAAAACTAGAACTGCTTTCTCTCCTTGCTTTCCTGGCTTGCCATCCACTTTCTCCGATGAGCTGGAGTTCTGAGTGGGGTCGCGGTGCTTGGATTTCATGCATCCCATGATATAAATAATGTAACATTGGTTTGAAAGCAGTGAGGGGAAGAGATGCAAAGATGGCGTGATACCAAGGTTATATTCCCTTGGTTGGGTTTTGTGATGTACGGATAAGAAGCTAGGATGAGGACGTATTTCTGTGCAAAGTGTAGTTGAGACACTCCAGATGGTCTGCCATGATGTATAGCATTCTCATGGCCACCTCACACTTGCCCTGTGTGAAGAAGAGGAATGGTTATTGTGAGTTATTGCTTGTCTTTGCGTGGTTAAATATATATTTTCAGTGTCTTGGCAACCTTGTCCATGACACCATAATGACTACATCTTCACAGGAATGAGGATTTCCTTATGAGGCAGTATGAAGAAAAAATAACTGCATTGTGCTTTAATTGGCTGAAGCCAGTAGTAGGCTATAAGTCAACTAGATATGGTATTTATTAGGGATGGCAAGGACATGACATGCTCTGATAGTTCCATTTATAAGTGTTTTTATCCCAGTTCAGATTCTCCAGATGGTCTGCCATGATGTATAGCATTCTCATGGCCACCTCACACTTGCCCTGTGTGAAGAAGAGGAATGGTTATTGTGAGTTATTGCTTGTCTTTGCATGGCTAAATATATATTTTCAGTGTCTTGGCAACCTTGTCCATGACACCATAATGACTACATCTTCACAGGAATGAGGATTTCCTTATGAGGCAGTATGAAGAAAAAATAACTGCATGTGCTTTAATTGGCTGAAGCCAGTAGTAGGCTATAAGTCAACTAGATATGGTATTTATTAGGGATGGCAAGGACATGACATGCTCTGATAGTTCCATTTATATGTAGGTACATAATGCTGTTCATTGTGGGTTTTCTGTTTATAAGCATTTTTATCCCAGTTCAGATTCAGATTATAACAATTTAAAAGCTAAATATAATTTGTAATTACATGAAACAATATTCCAGATCTACTTCCTGAATTTTCTTTATTCTTTACGTGTTAATAAAATACTTTAAAAACAAACTCTTATGTATATCATAAGGCGTATATCAAACGCGTATGTAATGTTTTTTTATTTGTAAAATTTCTGCAAAATTTAAATCTGCTTTTAGCCTCATCAATGTCATCGGTTCATTTGGTTCACACAAAAGTAGCCTACTCTTCCATCAGCTCTGGGCTCACTCCGAATCGGATTCAGTACGAATCGATGTCCTTTGGACTCGAGAACCGCTCGGACTGATTCAGTTCGATTTTCGAACGCATCGTTCACACTAATCATTCAAATGATCCGATTCAAAAGAACGATTCGTTCACGATTCGGACGTCGCTATCAATATTTGTATCGTGCTGCCTCATGAAACGCTGCTCCTGCGAACAGCTAATAATTAACATACTTCTCACAACGAACGCCGGTGGTTCACTCCTTTTGCTGCACAGATACACACATCGATAATGTCTCATTTAAGAATATAAATGTGTTGATTCTGTGTACTCTAGATCTACAAGCTGTTTTAGGCGCGAAAATTTTATTATTAGGCGTTTGTTAATATTTTAGCGATAATATTATTACTCTTGGCAATATATTCTCTTTGCCTGATACGCAAACCCGTTGTATAGGTACATCATGCACAGCAGTCAAAGACACCCGACAGTCACTGTCTGGAAATCTGAAGTGATCAACAGTTTAATAACATCATGATAAATTATATCCTGGTTGAAATGCAATGTTATAGTCAGGAAGAACGAGATTAAAATTCCAGTTCTGTCGTTTTTCGAGTAAATTCCATCCTCGTATTTGTGTCAAGAAAGCCTCAAGGTCAAGGCAAAATGTTATTCCTGATTGTATAAAATGCACGATGATCTGTTTTTATAATGTAATGCTAAAAGTGCAGATTCCAGCGATATAATCAGTGTGGGTACATACCTATTCGGACTGCAGGCTGTGAGCGTCAATATTATGCATATAAAAATCGAAGGAATCATTTCATCCAAAGCGGAATGCGTTATTTAAATTAAAAACTGATATAAATCCACAGTATTAACAGGCAGAAGCGTCCTCCTCCACACCAGTCTCGGTTAGGCTACTCCACAGGAGAATGAGAAAACACGTTGATGAACTTGCTCTTGTCGGGTAAATCGGGTCAGAATTCAGCATGTGCGTCCGGAGTCCACATATAATGGTGATAACGTTTCAGTTTCATTCCAATGACAGGACAGCGATGCAGCTCAACAGCGCATTAATCCGTGTTGTTTTTGCATTTCTCTCTGTCCATTCAAACATGGCCATCTATATGACTGAATTTGCAGCTTGGAAACTCTTCGTGTTTCTATTCAAGGGCACACATAGTTCATGCTATCCTTGCCTAAACATTTGTTTGTAAACTGGGTAAAATCGGTTACTGCAACACACGCAGACACAGGTTGCGCCTCAGTGTGTTTTTAAATACAATGTCGCCACCTAGTGGAATGACTGTTTTCAATAATACTACAAACAAATATTTCTAACAGAAGGGTTCCCAAACTTTTTCATAATAGGACACCCTAGAGAGGTATAATCTATCTCCCGCCAGACACATTTTATAGTGAAATATGAGGAAATAAACGCATTTGTTTTCTTGTCATACAGTATATACAGAGAGAGAATATTTTGTGTTAACAAAAGTGTGATTGAGTTTTGAGTCTTTATGCTTACCAAAAAATGTTAATTGAATTTTAGATTTTGTTTTTTTCACGACCCACGGTGAACCCCGCTGTTAAAACAGGATTTACAAAGACTAGAAAATCGCGAAGTCGCGTTCGCTTGCGTAGTAACTATAGCAACAGCTTCCATTCTTAGACAGTCCGCTAGGCTTATTGTCATTAGCCCATTTAAGATTTTATTACAAATTTACATTTTATAAGTATACCACAATCCTATAACCAACGATTTTAGGAAGCGCGACGTTTAACTGTGCTAGAGGTGCCTTTTTAAAAACAAAATAACTGTTCACACTCTACGAGTTACACTACATTGAAAACTATCAAACAAACACAATAATTTCAGGCTAGATCTTTGTATATTGTGTTAGGCATTATCCTAAATCCATTAGAACTTAATCGATAAAGATTTCTGTTCCGCGCAGACATTCCGCTTCGAATCTTAGATTCTTCCCTTTTTATCTTCACATTATTAAATTGAACCGAAGATATAAGTGCTATTAAGTAAGGGATAATGCCCTGTCATCGGCTCATTATCGCAAAATGTTCCCATACTCCAAACAGAGTCTTGTGTGGCCATGAAAGTGTTTATTTTGCAGTAACGACCGGATGACTGCACATTATCCTGCTTATACGGCTACTTGCCAAATAAATAAATGGACATGAAATATTGATTTGTTGAAATTATATTATGTAAGAATGAAAATGTAGAGCAGTGCGAGGGAAATCGGTTGCCATCCACAACAGTCAGTTCTACATTTGAGCTATAATCAATTGGCCAATCAGAATCAAGTATTCCTACTAAAGGACTTATTTCTCTCCATAATTGAACACAATTATAATTTCTAATGTATACTAGAAGTTGCATGTTATTTTGTTTATATTTTTCTTTATTATATTTCCGCGTTTACTACCCTTATATGTATAATTTTACTAATAACTGTGCAAAAGTACAGATATCTGAATAAAAAGAGGTCAGGATATACCTCACCTGCGTTACACAAGTTGTACCATAAGATGGCGCTACGTATCTTACCCACGGGTCAAAAAAACTGAAGAAGCTGCAGTTAGGAGACTGTTCAACAAATAAGATGAATTGTGCTTATTCAATTTCTTACGTTTAAAACGTTACATACGTTGTGAAATTGAATTCTGTTGCATTGACAAAAGCTACGTGAATATTAGCCTATCCAAACACCTCTTTTTCAAAAACTACCGCATAAAAATAGGACATAGGGAAAACGAATGCCACAAAAGACAGGGCTTGAAATGACAGTTATTTTAGCAAGTTACTCACGATATAAATTAATAAATGAACCAACATTTCAAAGCTGCTAAAGCACCTTTTTACCTACGACGCTGCTCAAGTTGTGTAGAACATCAAGGTTTCTTATATGGCAATGTACTGTTAAGATAAAAACAGATATTCTGTTGATTATGAATTCATATGCATAAATGTCACATGTAGCCTTACATTATGGGTCAGATGCGTTTGGATAGTGAGTAGCCTAGATGCACGCACTGAAATGTTATAAGAAATGTGCGTATTTTTCATATGCTTGTGCATAATTTGTATTCAAGTTCGGCTAATTCCTTCACGAGTCCTCTAAGATGTGCCATGCCTCTTTAAGAACTGCGAAAGAAGTCCAGCTCTGTCCATTAGGTTTATTGTTGCCAGCTCAGCCAATCATTGAATCTTACGACACAATAGAGTGGCCAAAGTTGCAGTATAAAACGCCTTGCCGAATTTAAGCATGACATCTACTTATCCGGTGCGTGGTGAGGTTCATTTCCATAGCAAATCAGATCAAACATCGCAAACATCCTTTAGCACGCTTTGGAACATGCATTTTACACAGGTTTTAATTTCTCTAAGTGTATTAATTGCATGCGGTTCAGTGGGTCATGGAGATATAACGGCGCACCAGCAGCCTTCCACAGCCACGGAGGAAAGCGAGCAGTGTTCCACATGTGAGTTCAGACAACACAGCAAGCTGATGAGACTGCATGCCATCAAGTCCCAAATTCTTAGCAAGCTCCGACTCAAACAGGCTCCAAATATTAGCCGGGACGTGGTCAAGCAGCTGTTACCCAAAGCACCGCCTTTGCAACAACTTCTGGATCAGTACGATGTTCTGGGGGATGACAGTAAGGATGGAGCTATGGAAGAGGACGATGAACATGCCACCACAGAGACCATCATGACCATGGCCACAGAGCGTAAGGATCGTCTATTTCAAATATTCGTTCAAGTAGATGTATCCTCTTAACAATGGACAAAAAATAAGAGATACTTGGAGAGACCATTTACGCAGTCTTTACGTCCAAGCCGTTTGCACTCACAAGACGGCTATTGTGCATTAAATGCACAGTTAATGCAAAGATCATTCTCGTTTACTGATTTTTAAGGCTTTGCGTTGCTGCTTTATCAGCCTTGTTAACCGATTTTACGCACGCTGAACATGGAAGCGCAGCAAAGCGCACCAGCGTCGCTCAAAGAAAATGTTTTCGCCTTTACCACACGTGACATTTACAAACTGTAGTTGAAACTGGGTAATTTCTTAGGCAATATTTTTAGGTAAAAATGTGTATTATCTTATAGATATTATGTGTGTAGGCGATCCATTAGTTATTGCATGTATAAATGTTTCCATCCGCAATGCCGTTTGTATATAACATCATATATAGACACATACAGTCAATCACATTTTTACATACAAATGTCTGCTTTATGTCTGTAATGTATTTTCTATTTTCTATTTATACAAAATTATATTTTGTGGGCGTAGTCAACGTTTTTTCTTTAAAACTTCATTTTTTAATTTATATCAGTGCGCCACTTCATGACCTGCTGTAATAACAAAACTGTCAGACCCCGTATAATCGCTATTTCTCTCTTTTTTTTCAGCTGACCCCATCGTTCAAGTAGATCGGAAACCGAAGTGTTGTTTTTTCTCCTTCAGTCCGAAGATCCAAGCGAACCGGATCGTAAGAGCGCAGCTCTGGGTTCATCTGAGACCGGCGGAAGAAGTGACCACAGTCTTCTTACAGATATCACGGCTGATGCCTGTTACGGACGGAGGACGGCACATACGAATACGATCCCTGAAGATCGATGTGAACGCAGGAGTGACGTCTTGGCAGAGTATAGACGTAAAACAGGTACTCGCGGTGTGGTTAAGACAACCGGAGACCAACTGGGGCATTGAGATAAACGCGTATGACGCGAAGGGAAACGACTTGGCTGTCACCTCAGCTGAGCCTGGAGAGGATGGACTGGTGAGTTAACAAAAATGCGTTTTTCGTAAAATATAACCGCTTTTAGACAGAGCTTTGCCAACAGTAATTGTTGTGAATGACACTATTGAGAAATTATTTAGATGGGTTTATTTACAAAATACTTTGTTCTAAATAAATAGTGACATCTCAAAAATGAGTGCCAGAAGCGAAAATGTAAAATGCATATTTAATGTTAAATGCATGTTAAGTGCATGTGTCTGAGCGCCCAACAACGCTACACATTACAGAATTTCGCTACATCTGTGTTGTCCCGAATGTTTTTGTGAATCAAAAGCATTCGTCGCGTGACCAGTATAGTCCGAATCGAGAACGAATGACTCTTTTGAACGGTTCTTTTTAGTGAATCTGACTCACTGAATCTCCAGTTACTTTCGTCATATTTAACAAGAAACGAACTAAAAAAATGTTAACCCTCATGAAACTTAAATGAGATTAGCTTAAATTAGAAATTGTGGTAGTCAGTGGTATAAAAATGAATTTAAAAAGTTAGTACGTTTTTCTTCTTTGTTTTAGTATTTTTATTTAATATAAATACCATAAAATGCGTATGAAAAGTTATTAAAAAGGCAAAAATATGAAATTTTTGTCTGTATATTGGTTCTGCTGATATCAGAAATGATCTCATGATTTGCTGGGGCAGTAACTGCAATAAGAATTGAAAAATCGTTAATGGCACCAATAAGCAATGACTCATTATGTGGAATTGGAACCAGAATCATTAAATTTATTCCCTTCCCTAATCATATCTGTATTGGCTATCTGTAGCATTCATTAATGGTTGGACAGAGCTACTTCACGGTCAGACCAGGAGTTGGCAAGCGCCGTCAGATAGGAAAGTATCAACAGTAAACTGAAACACTGGCTCTTGGTTTCTTTCACTCCCAGCTCCCCTTCATGGAGGTGAAAATCTCGGAGGGCCCAAAGCGAATCCGGAGGGACTCTGGG